TTTGAGTGTTGAGATATTTAAATGAGTAATGATGAAACACAACCTCGTGGCACTCCTGTATTACTGTATCTGACCTCAGAAAGTGTCCCATTAACCCTTACCTGCTGAGCTCTGTTACTTAAAAAAAGAGTAAAACCATTTAATTAAAGCGTAATGTGAAGCGGCGCTTCTGGTGTGTGACCTCCTTAAGGTGATGACAAAACAGCTAATTTTGCTCACATTTTAAGATTATAAGGCTGAACGTGACATGACCGTCTACAGAGATTTTTCACCAGACTGCTGTTGTGTTTGTGATGAGGAGGGACAAGGCTGAATCCAGCTTCCTATTTGCAGCTTCTTGTTGACTCTATCCGGTCCCCCTTAAACCACGAGGCTTCCGTTTTTCAACTTCAGAGAGAGAACTTGTGATGGGTCATTCATGAACGATTCGTTCATTTTGAACGGATCTTCAATATGACTCGGGAACTACGAGTCCTCTCAGGGCATATTTGTGCAGGCGATATCGTTCATTTCAATTCTTCATCACATTGGCAGAAGCCAATCATATGCGTTTAGAGATGGAAAAAGAATTGATCTGCTCACCTCTCGAGTCCTCTATCGGGTCTGAGTCACATGTTCATCACGAGCCAATCATACGCGTTTAGAGCCGGAAAAAGTTTTGATCCGTTCATCTGTCGAGTCCTCTATCGGGTCTGAGTCACGCGTTCCTCACGGGCCAATCATACGCGTTTAGAGCCTGAAAAAGAATTGAACCGTTCGAGTTATTCTGTCACTTGATGAACGAACGGTCATGGCTTAGACTGTGTATTGATTAAGATTACATGTGACTGTCAGTATAACATGAATGAACCCCTGACATTTGAAGACACGAAGAGGTGAGCTGAGTAAAGAGACAACAATACCTTCATAGCCAAAAGAGCAGGTAAACATTTAATGATTATTTTCTCCTTCTTATATTCTACTTATGACTTATTTGTCGTGTGATCAACCTTTTGGGCCGGTTGTAGATGTGATTGGAAGCAATTCGTAACATTTTAATAATATTTTGGCAAATTGAACCAAATGAACGAAAAAAGATTCATTCATCTTGATGAACGAGACTCAAAGATCCGAGTCAGTAAAATGATCCGAACTTCCCATCACTAGAGAGAACAAAAGAACACACTGAGCAAGGGCTTATTATGCGGTTCTGGTGCCATCTTGTGGGTAGACAACGTTAACCGCCGCCGACGAGCTCTCAGAAATTGTAAATATTTTAAAATAGGCACTATTCTTACAAATAAACTGCATGGTTGCAATCTGAATGACTACATTCTCTAATAAAAAAGCCTCAATACTACATTTTGTTGTCTAACAACAGTATTATTTGTCAAACTGTAGCCTGCTTGTTGCTTGCTGTATGTGGGCGGAGTAATACACAGAGGTGAAGAGGCTGTGTGGATTCTGATATTAATTAAATATATCATGGCAATCAGCCAATCAGATTCGAGATCCAGACAGAACTGTTGTATAATTAGATATAACACTAGATCATGTCATACACCAGTTAGTAGGGTTAGGTACCGAAACCCCCTTTGTAACCGGTATGTACCGGACCGAATCAGCATATGAATTTCGGTGCCTATTTTTGGTGCCACTGGTGCTTCGACCAGGACGTGAGAAGCATAAAGGGGTGCATCAAAGGCACACATAGGTACACGTTGTCACACCATCTCTAAACATTTAATTCTAAACAACTTTGAGAATACGAACAGGTGTAACGGAGGCCAGCTAGTGTGTGCTGTGCAGGTAAACCTCCCTCCTCTGACCTCTAAAGGTGCTCTAGCGACTGACGCTAGAGGCCTTGGTCTTTAGCCTCCTTGGTAGAGCACCCGACTCCCATGCGGAAGGTTGCCTGTTCGATGCCAGCTCGGAGCAGGATGGGTGGCGTAGGACTGGTGGGGTTACATTGGTGCCGTGACCCGGATGGGAGGGAGGTTTAGGGGGGATGAGTGTAACGAAGGCCAGCTAGTGTGTGTTGTGCAGGTAAACCTCCCTCCTCTGACCTCTAAAGGTGCTCTAGCGACAGACGCTAGAGGCCATGGTCTTTAGCCTCCTTGGTAGAGCACCCGACTCCCATGCGGAAGGATGCCGGTTCGATGCCAGCTCGGAGCAGGTTGGGTGGCGTAGGACTGGTGGGGTTACATTGGTGCCGTGACCCGGATGGGAGGGAGGTTTAGGGGGGTGAGTGTAACGGAGGCCAGCTAGTGTGTGTTGTGCAGGTAAACCTCACTCCTCTGACCTCTAAAGGTGCTCTAGCAACTGACGCTAGAGGCCATGGTCTTTAGCCTCCTTGTTAGAGCAACCGACTCCCATGCGGAAGGTCACCGGTTCAATACCAGCTCGGAGTGGGTTGGGTGGCATAGGACCGGCGGGGTTACACAGGCGATGTCAGGCGTTTGTTCTTGTTGCTTAGGGAAAGGATGCACGCAGTACAGCGCATTCAGTGAGCGAGAGAGACTCTCTTCAGATCAACACGCATGATGGCGTTCATCAAATTTGCTTAAACTAATTGTTCTAAAGTGTATTTTACAAGCAAGGATTCTGACACTGTGATGTGCGCACTTGCTCTTTCTGTCAGTGACGATGCTGTGCACATTAGCCTAGTTTCCTGCATTTGTCAGAGGTTGACACCCAAATTGACACAGGTAATAGTGATTTTAACACTTTGAAGTGCTCGGCTATGCAGAGCCCATTATTAATCAGAAATCTGGTGTACATAGTTTTACGTTAGGAAATGCAGTATTCAATTTACAAACAGTCGGCAAGTGCCAAAGAACATATATAAATTGTTATTAAATTATTATTAAATAAATTCAAATTTTGCTTATTAAATTCATTTAAATAAAAAATATTAGATATTTAAGTCAAACAATGTAGAAACAGTATTAAAATAACACTGGTATGGACATCTTTATTAGCTCAATGTATGTTTTGTCAACCTCTCTCTGTTTGTGTGTGTGTGTGTTTAGGACAGAGATGACTTATTATGGTGATAAGACGAAAGAGCGATTGCTGTATGTGATGGATTTTTCAGCTGATGACCTGCAGAGGGAGTTTAACTGTTCTGCCAGAAACAGACACGGCTTCAACACCAGCAGAGCACGACTCAAAGCTGAACGTAAATACACACACACACTCACTGTCTCTCTTTTAAACAAGTCTCTTACACTCAACAAGGCTTCAACTATTTCACCACAAATACAGTAAAAACGTTGATATAGTATTGCATTTTTTAATAACTGTTGTCTCTGTAAAAGTATTTTATATTGTAATTTATTTCTATGATGTGACGTTACATTTTTCTGCATCATTTCTCCAGTCTTCCGTGTCATGTGATCCTTCAGAAATCATTGCAGCATATCTGATTTGATTGTCAGGAGGCAAACATGTCTTCATATTTTCCTTGTCGAAGATTTTATACATGTTATTATTCAGTTCCATTCTTTTCTATTCCCTTCCTTTTCATTCCATTGTATTCTATTTTATTGCGTTCCATTCTATTCTATTCCATTTTATTTAATTCCATTGTATTCAATTCTATTCTATTGTGTTCCCATCCATTCTATTCTTTTTTATTCTATTCTCTTTCATTCTGTTGTATTCTATTCTGCTCTATTCCATTTTATCCTGTTCCATTCTCTTTTATTCCATTCTATTCCATTTCATGTTATTTTATTCCATTCTATTTTATTTTTATTCCATTCTATTCTTCTCCATTCAATTCTAATCTGTTCTGTTCTATACCAGTTTATTCCATTTCTTTTTATTTCATTCTGTTTTATTTTATTTCATTCTATTCCTTTCCATTTTGTTGTATTCAATTCTACTTCATTCTGTTCTGTTCTATTCTATTTAATTTCATTCTATTATATTCTGTTCCATTCTATTCTTTTTTTATTCTATTCTATTCAATTCTATTTTATTCAATTCTGTTTTATTTGTATTCTATTCTATTTCATTCTTTTCTATTGTATTCTGTTCTATTCCATTTAATTTTATTTCATTCCATTCTATTTTATTCTGGATTTATCTTTTTTTATTTTATGCCATTTAATTCCTTTCCATTCTGTTCTGTTGTATTCCTTTCTGTTGTGTTCTGCTCTATTTCATTCTCTCCATTCAATTCTATTCAATTCTGTTCTATTATATTCTATACCAGTTTATTTCATTCCTTTTTATTGCATTGTGTTCTATTTTATTCCTTTCAATTTCATGTTATTCTATTGCATTCTATTATATTCCTTTCCATTCTGTTCCATTCTGTTTTATTCTATTTATTTAATTCTATTCTATTCTGTTCCATTCTATTCTTTTTTTTATTCTATTCTAATCCATTCTAATGTTTTTTTTATTCTATTCAGTTCCATTATATTCTATTCTACTTCATTCCATTCTATTTTATTCAGTTCTATTCCATTTAATTTTATTTCATTCCATTCCATTTCATTTCATTATACTCTATTTTATTCCATTCTGTTCTGTTCTGCTTTATTCCATTCAATTCTATTCCAATCCATTTTATTCTGGATTTATATCTTTCTTATTTTGTTCCATTTTATTCCTTTGAATTCTATTATATTTTGTTCTGTTCTATTTTATTCCATTATGTTGTGTTCTTTTCTATTTAATTCCATTTCATTCTATTCCATTCTATTTTATTATACTCCATTCAAATCCATTCCATTCTATTCTATTGCATTCTATTACATTCCTTTCCATTCTATTATATTCTATCCAGTTCTATTTTATTCCATTCTGTTCTGTTCTGTTTTATTCCATTCAATTCCATTTTATTCTATGCTGTTCTATTTTATTTTATTCAATTCCATTTCATTATAATCCATTCTATCCTATTCCATTCATTTCCATTCTATTCTGTTCTGTTCTATTCCATTCTATTCATTTTTATTCTATTATGTTCTGTTATATTCTATTATATTTAGTTCTATTAAGTATTTAATTAATAGAAAGTCACATAATTTCACTTTGTATGGATTTTATGCACGTTTGATGAATTGATGTAATAATTTCTTTCCAAAAATTGAAAGTCTAAAATAAAATTTACTTAAGACCAACTAGATAAGCAGTTTTTAATTGCCATGATGCTATTATTTAGTTACATTTTATGATTTTATTGGTGCAGATGTTGTTTATGAAATTGTTACAGTTTATATAGTACAGTATACATTAGATTATTATTATTATTATTATTATTATTATTATTATTATTATTATTATTTGGAGCAGATGTTTACGTATTTGGTACACTGGTATTAATGTGTGTGGGTGGGTGGTGTATGTGCCGACAATGGGTGGTGATTTAAGATTGATGGTGACATTCATGTTGTTGTTGATGATGATAATTGTGTGTGTGTGTGTGTGTGTGTGTGTGTGTGTGTGTGTGTGTGTGTGTGTGTGCGTGTGCGTGTGCGTGTGTGTGTGTGTGTGTGTGTGTGTGTAGCATATGTGCCGACGCTGGAGCTGAGCTGTGGTTTAGGGGTGACGCTAGCACTCATGTTGATGATGTTCGTCATTTATCACGTCTTCTGGCTGGAGCTCCTGCTGCTCTATCGCTCCTGGTTCGGCTCTGATGAGAGATACACCGGTGAGAACACACACAATCGCATATATAGAAACACACACTCACATGTAGACACACAAACATTCAGACAGACACATTCACACTTACATATATAAACACACATTCACACTGACATTTGTAAACACATATACACACTTACATGTAGACACACATATAGACATGCATACTTGCATATTAGACACACATATCCACACAGACAGAGAGACACATTCACACTCACAAATTTAAACAACACACACTCACAAGTAAATACACAAACATTCAGACAGATACATTAAAACTCACATATATAAAAACACACACATGTAGACACACACACATTCACATATATACAAACACACACACACCCTAGCACCCATCCAGGCAAACACACACATATAGAAACACATACACTCTCATATAGACACACAAACTCACACATCCAGACAAACACACACAAATTAAGAGACACATACTTACACAAATCCACACACACACACACACACACACATACACGCTTATGTATAGACGCACACATACATGCAGATAGAAACATTTACACTTACACATACACACTCAGACACACACACAGACATACAAAGACAAACACACATATAGATACACATAAACACTCGCAACACACAAACTCACACATCCAGACAAACACACACACACACAAATAGACACACATACTCACACAAATTCAGACAGACTCACACACTCACTTATGGACACACACAAAGACAGACAGAAACACACATGCATACAAATAGACACATTCAAACTCACACACATAAGAACACATACACAATTACTCACATATAGACACACACACACACTCACTCACATATAGACACACACACACACACAGACATACATGGATAAACACGCAATAACCCGCATATAGACACACATACTCGCACAAATTCAGACAGACAGACAGACACACACACACACACACATAGACACACACCTAGACAGACGCGCACTTATGTAGACGGACATACAGTTACATGCATTTACACACATACACACTCACTCATATATAGACAGACACATACACACTCAGACTCACATATAGGCACACACATACACACTCAGGCTCATACACAAACACATACATAGACAAACACAAATATAGACACACAGACACTTACTTAGACACACAAACAGACAGACTCACACTTATGTATAGACACACACGCATACATACAGATACATACATTCACACTCACACATATAGACAAACACGTACACACTCAGACACATTCGCATATAGACACACACACAGACACACACTTATGTGTAGACACACACGCATACATACAGATACATACATTCACACTCACACATATAGACAAACACACAGACAAACAAACATACAAACATTGTCAAACACACATATAGACACACACTTGCATATAGACACATAAACTCGCACATCTGGACAAACACACTCACTCACATATAAAAGCACACATACACAAATCCAAAGACACAGACACTCACTTATAAACACATAGACAGACACACACTTATGTATAGACACACACGCATACATACAGACACATTCACACTCACACATATTCAAACACATACACACTCACATGACATACATAGACATACACACATATAGACACACACAGACTCGCATATAGACACCAAAAACTCGCACTTCCAGACAAACAAAAACACACACTCACATATAGACACATGCATACATACAGACACACCTATACAAACACACACACTCGCATATACAAGCACACATACACAAATCCTAAGACACAGACACTCACTTATAGACACACATAGACAGACACACACTTACGTATAGACACACACGCATACATACAGACACATTCACACTCACACATATTCAAACACATACACACGCACATGACATACATAGACATACACACATATAGACACACACAGACTCGCATATAGACACCAAAAACTCGCACTTCCAGACAAACAAAAACACACACTCACATATAGACACACATACTCGTATATAGACACATGCATACATACAGACACACCTATACAAACACACACACTCTCACACACACTCGCATAGATTCAGACAGACGCATTCACGCTCACACATAGAAACAAACACACATAATCGCATATAGACACACGCTCACTCACACACATCCAGAAACACTCACATATAGACAAACACAGAGACACACATTGACACATTCAGAGAGGCGCACACTCATACACTCACACACACAGACACATTTAACTGAGTAGCTTATTGAATGACAATATAAGTAGGCGTGGCTTGATTTCATGATTGTGGTTTGCTATTGGTTGAGTGATGGATTATTATGAGTGATAGGTTGATCCCGCCCTTATTCCAGTAAACACCAATCAGATTGAAGAGGATGGGGAAGTTATTTATGAGTTCCTGACTGTGAAGCATGCAGACTAAACTGGGCGTGGTCTGTTTTGCTTGTGTAGATGAGAAGCAGTATGACGTGTACATCTCATACGCTCGTAACAGTGAGGAGGAGCAGTTCGTGTTGTCCACACTGCGTCGCGTGCTGGAGACCGAGTTCGGCTACTCCGTCTGCATCTTCGACCGCGACAGCCTTCCTGGAGGAAGTGAGTATCACATCATACCACACACACATATACAGTTGAAGTCAGAATTATTACCCCCCCCCTGTATATTTTCCTGCCAATTTCTGTTTAACAGAGAGAACATTTTTCTTTGACACATTTTTAAACATAATAGTTTTAATAACTAATTTCTAATAACATTATAATGTTATTATAATATTTATTTTATCTTTGTCATGATGACAGCACATAATATTTGACTAGATCTTCTTCAAGATACTAGTATTCAGCTTAAAGTGACATTTAAAGGCTTGACTAGGTTAATTAGGGTAATTAGGCAGTTTAGGGTAATTAGGCAAGTCACAGTATAACAGTGGTTTGTTCTGGAGACAATCCAAAACAAATATAGCATAAGGGGGCTAATAATATCGACCTTAAAATGGTTTAAAAAATTAAAAAGTGCTTTTATTCTAGCTAAAATAAAAAAAAATCACTTTCTCCAGAAGAAAAAATACTATAGGAATACTGTGAAAAAATCCTGAATCTGTTGAATATCAGATAAAAAAAAATCACTTAATAATTTTGACTTCAACTGTATATGAACTTTGATCAAAAAACGGTTGTCCTAAAACAAGAGTTCGTGGGATTGCTGCATTTCATTGAAATGTAAAAGGTCTATTCCAGATATTAAAGGTCAGGAAATTTTATGTTTCTTTTCGTCCGAGTCATGAAATATCAGGGATTTTTGTTTTGTAATTTTAAAGTTGACTTTCTATTTACACTCACTGGCCACTTTATTAGGTACACCTTACTACTAACGGGTTGGACCCTCTTTTGCCTTCAGAACTGCCTTTATCCTTCGTGGCGTACACCTTCAGCAAGGTACTGGAAATATTCCTCAGATTTTGCTCCATGATAGTATCACGCAGTTGCTGCAGATTTGTCTGGTGCACGTCTATGATCTGAATCTCCCGTTCCACCACATCCCCACCCCTCTGGTGACTGTGGAGGCCATTTGAGTACAGTGAACTCATTGTCATGTTCAAGTAACCAGTCTGAGATGATTCACCCTTTATGACATGGTGTGTTGTCCTGCTGGTAGTAGCCATCAGAAGATGGAGACACTGTGCTCATAAAGGGATGGACATGGTCAGCAACAATACTCAGGTAGGCTGTGGCGTTGACACGATGCTCAATTGGTACTAATGGAGCCAAAGTGTGCCAAGAAAGTCTCCCCACACCATTACACCACCACCAGCCTGAACCGCTGATACAAGGCAGGATGGATCCATGCTTTCATGTTGTTGACTCCAAATTCTGACCCGACCATCTGAATGTGTCAGCAGAAATGGAGACTCATCAGAGCAGGCAACGTTTCTCCAATCTTCTATTGTCCAGTTTTGGTGAGTCTGTGTGAATTGTAGCCTCAGTTTCCTGTTCTTAGCTGACAGGAGCGGCACCTGGTGTGCTCTTCTGCTGCTGTAGCCCATCCGCCTCAAGGTTGGACGTGTTGTGTGTTCAGAGATGCTCTTCTGCAGACCCCTGCTGTAACGAGTGCTTATTTGAGTTACTGTTGCCTTTCTATCAGCTGGAACCAGTCTGGCCATTCTCCTCTGACCTCTCGCATCAACTAGGCATTTGCGCCCACAGAACTGCCGCTCACTGGATATTTTCTCTTTTCAGACCATTCTCTGTAAACCCTAGAGATGGTTGTGTGTGAAAATGCCAGTAGATCAGCAGTTTCTGAAATATTCAAACCAGCCAGTCTGGCACCAACAACCATGCCATGTTCAAAGTCACTTAAATCCCCTTTCTCCCCATTCTGATGCTCACTTTGAACTGCAGCAGATCGTCTTGACTATGTCTATATGCCTAAATGAGTTGCTACCATGTGATTGGCTGATTAGAAATTTTCCACGAGGAGCAGTTGGACAGGTGTACCTAATAAAGTGGCCAGTGAGTGTGTGTGTATACATATATATATGTTTTATCTATATATATATTATATATATATATATATATATATATATATATATATATATATATATATATATATATATATATATGTTTTTGTGTGTGTGTGTGTGCGTGCTTGTGAGTTTGTGACTGTGTGTGTGTGTAATAATAACAGTATGTCTGTGTGTGTAGCTATAACAGATGACACTCTGCGGTTTGTGGCTCAGAGCAGGCGTCTGGTGGTAGTGGTGAGTCCTCTGAGTGCGGTGCGGGGGACGCAGGCTCTGCTGGAGCTTCAGGCTGGTCTCTCCAGCATGCTGCGCGGCGGGAGCCTCCGGGTGGTTCTGATCCAGTTCAGAGCCGTCCGGAGGAAGAGCTGGGCCAAAGAGCTGCGGCGCGCGAGACTGGCGCTCACACTCATCCGCTGGAAAGGGGACAAGTCTGAGCCGCTGTCCTCACGCTTCTGGAAACAACTCCAGCTCGAGCTGCCCATGAGGAGGAGCACAACACACACACCGCTGCCTGACATCACACAACACACACACACTACAGACACAAACGCACATGCAGGAGAGCAGAAACTCCTCCATCCCGAATCCACCACCGCTGTATAGACTTAATACAGCTTTACAGGGCATCACTATAGAGTGTAAAACATGTTAACATTTTTAATACTTTGTTATTCACAAGTTTTTTTTTATTTATTTGCGGTTGTGAATTGCATTTTGAGATGTTGCTCTTTGCTCTGTCGACTTTTAATGTTAAAAATTCAACTCTACAGTTTAACAGTGACTTTTATTGACGTTTTAGTAGTTTGAAATGGAGATCTGCGCGGGACTGAAATTTCCCGCCACGTTTTCTACCCTACCCGACCGTTCCTGATAAAAATTTAGATCTGGTATCCAAAATCTCACGTTAAATTGGATACTATTAAAAGAGAGAGATAACAGATAAAAGCGTAGGTTGTGCAAGGATTGTAGACTTAGGGCTCTATTTTGACGGTCCATGCGCAGAGCGCAAAATGCAGGGCGCAAACGCTTTCAGGGCGTGTCAGGACGCGTTTTTGCTAATTTAAGGACGGGAAATCTGCCTTGCGCTTCGGCGCATGGTCTAAAAGGGTTGAGTTTATTTTCCTAATGAGTTACAGGTGTGTTTTGAGAATAAACCAATTAGAGTCTCATCTCCCATTCCCTTTAAGAGCAGCTGCGTCACGCCAAGAGCGCATTCGCTATTTACAGGACGTAAAGTAAGTCTAAGTGGAAAAAATGAGCATTTCACAAGCAAACAGTTAACAGTTTATTAACAGAAAACAGTTAAACAGAGCATCTACTGCGTGAGAATGAGAGATAATGGAACACTTTCACTTTCGCTCTTGGATAGGGAAACCTTTACGCACAGACATCAATTAGTCTATAAATAAATACTTTCGTTTGTTAAGTGCAAATATTCGTTTCAAAACTATTTCTAAATTCAGTTCTAATTTCCAGCAAACGAATAAATGAACAATAATGGCCAAGTGTGGTCAAAAGCCTGAGTTATTTCCAAATACACCTGCCATGCCCCATATGGTCTAAAACCTGACAGGTGGGCAAATCTAAGCTTGTTTTTAATAAAACAAATATAAATATGGATATAATAAATAATACTGCTAATAATAATAACATTATACAAAAGCAAATTGTTATGAATGAACTGAAAAAGCCTCCCGAGATGAAGAAGACATAAAAGCAGTGATTTTTCATATTTATGTAGGCTGAAAATAATGTTTTGTAATATTTTAATCCTTTATGTTTATATCCTATATTTATTCTTATTATATCCTATATATATCCTTAATATTTACATTTTTTCATATGTAAAGATATTTGCCTATTGCTCTCTTGTGTGTATTAAGCAGTGTGTAAGCGAGGCGCAACTCTGTGCTGGAGTTTAGACCGGGTTAGTTTTGGTCTAATGGAAAATCTATTATAGTTTCTCAAAATAGCAACGCGCCAGCAGTGCGCCTCAGAACGCCTTCCTTTTTAGACCAGAACGCCTATGGGCGCACAAATGAGCGCTAATGCATTTGCTATTTAAACAGCGTAGCGCAACGCCTCAAAACCACTCTTGCGCCAAGCTGAAACTACCAAAAGACTATTGCGCTGCGTCTTGCGCCACACTGCGCCGGGTGTATGATAGGGCGCTTAATGTCAGTTTTGTTTGCCCCTTTGTGAAGAGACATACAGTTGCTAAAGTTATCTTAATCGATGCTCAACACACACAAATCTGTTAAACTCTCAAAAGAAGTACTCCGGGGTGTCTTAAACCTTTAAAGGGGACCTATTATGCAAAAATGACTTTTACAAGGGGTTTGAACACAGTTGTGTGGCAGCGGTGTGTGAGTGTAGTCAGCCTCTAATGGTCTAAATTCATTAGTTCTATTTTCTATAACCACATAGATTGAATATGTTTTAGTTTCCATTTTAGTTTAAGTAGTTCAACTTGTTATATTTTGCTTGATTTTTGTTTGTTATAATTTTGTATTAATTTTTATATTATTTTAAGTACTTGGAATTATTGCATTTCACACATAAGCAACCTTTTCATTCAAGCTGAAAAATATTGAATAATTATTTTTATATTGTACTATTTTTTTTTTTTTTAGACATTTTTGGATAGTTTTTCATTTCATTTTTATGTAGGTTAAATATGATGCTGTTTCCGTTTTTGTTTAAGTGCTTAAATTGACATTTTAGTTTGATTTTAATTTTAATGTTGTATTAAGTTTTATATTATTTTAAGTACTCTGAATTATTTTATTTTACACATATGCAACCTTTTCATTTAAGCTGAAAAATATTACATTATTATTTTTATATTGTACTATTTTTGTCATTTTTGTTTTTTAGATTTTGAGTTTTTTTCATATTTTGTTTATGTAGCTTAAATATATTGTTGTTTTTGTTTTAGTTTGTGCTTAAATTTGACATATTTTAGTTAAATTTTTATTTTAATTTTAATGTTGTATTAATTGTATATTATTTTAAGTACTTTGAATTATTGTATTTCACACATAAGCAACATTTTCATTCAAGCTGAAAAATGTTGAATTATTATTTTTAAATTGTACTATTTTTGTCATTTTTTGTTTTGTTTTGTTTTTTAGATTGAGTTTTAATTTTTTTTTTATGTAGGTTAAAAATGATGTTGTTTCCGTTTTCGTTCAAGTGCTTAAATTTGATGTATTTTAGTTTAATTTTCATTTAAGTTCTAATGTTGTATTTTATTTATTTATTTTTTTATTTGTTTATTTGGCAGGGAAAGTGTACATTAATTAGCATTTCTGCAAATGCACCAGAATTAGCCAAAAGGCTATTTTTCATCTGTTGTCCCTGAACAACCTAAAAAAAAACAATACATGAATTATACAATCAATCAAACATAGTTAAAAAGTACTAAAATAGACAAGGTTATGTAGATGTTAATAAAAAAATGAATATTTACAAATTAAACTTATTAAATTAAATTAAATTAAAACACTAACATTTTGTAATAGGGATAAAAATAGTTGACAAATAGTTTAAACAACAAATCATTAAGATGGTAGGCACAGATGGAAACATGCTAGGTTCATTCTAAAAGGAATGATGACACGTCTGCTTCTCTATAAACTCGATTTTTAAATGTTGTTAATTTTTGTATTAATTTTTATTTTATTTTAAGCACTTTGAATTATTTTATTTCACACAAAAGCAACCTTTTCATTCATGCTGATGAATGTTGAATTATTTTTATGTTGTTCTATTAAGGAACTGTTATGTCATTTATGTATTTTTATATATTTAAATATATTTTTGTTTCAGTTTAAGTAGCTCAACTTGAGTGGCATGGTGGCTCAGTGGTTAGCACTGTGGCTTCACTGCAAGAAAGTTGCAAGTTCGAGTCACGGCTGGGTCAATAGGCACTTCTGAGTTTGCATGTTCTCCCCGTGTTGGCGTGGGTTTCTTCCGGGTGCTCCAGTTTACCCCACAGTCCAAACACATGCACTATAGGGCAATTGAATAAGCTAAATTGGCTGTAGTGTATGAGTGTGTGTGGGTGTTTCCCAGGTACTGGGTTGCAGCTGAAAAGGCATCCGCTGTGTAAAACATATGCCAGAAATGTTGGCGGTTCATGTTCTTTGCTGACCCCCGATAAATAAAAGGACAAGGCCGAAGGAACGAAAACTCAAGTTTTATAGTACATTTTTCTTATTTGAATATTTACTAATATTTTGGGCTAGGTGTTTTCATTCATTCATTTATTTATGTGACATTTTTTGTTTACATTATAATCATTTTGCTGTATGCTTTTATTTAGTATTTGTATAAATTATATTTTGTTTTAGTTTTAAATGCAAGTATTTTAACATTCTTTATTTCAGTTAATTGCCAAAGCGAGATTTCTAATTTTCCTCTACATTTTACATGTTAATTTAGTATTTTTCCATACTAAATACCATGTTATAGTATTTATTCATATTCAGAAGTATATATATATATATATATATATATATATATATATATATACACATACATACATACATACATACATATATATATATACATACACACACACACACACTCAGTATGTCTTACATATGTGTTTTAGTTTATGATTTAGACACTGTTGTATAATTTTGTATTTTTACTATGTACCTTTATTATTATTATTATTATTATTATTATTATTTAGCTTATTTTTATTCAACATAAGTGCAATTATTTCAATGAACTTCATTTCCGTTAATCTCCAGGGCAATATTTCTAATTTCTTGTGTTTTATTAAGTTGCCAAATATTTGTATTAGCTTTATAACAAGAAAGATATTCAGTAGGTTTAGGATTTGTCAAAAATGACACTGAGGTTTATTTTTTTGTCATCCAAACTTTGAGCTAAATATTTAACTTTTTATTATATCAAATGTAAGAAGTAAAAGTTGTTATTAATATTGTTTAACATCAATAATTATTAATATTTTACTTCAACATTTCCATCATCACCTTTCTGCGTTTGAAGTTCCGTTATTGTTCACATTAAATCAGGTATAGTTTTGTTTTTTGGCTAGCTTTTTTAAGGCACAAACATATCCTCCGTAGACTTGCATTGGAAAAGAGCTCATTTTCATAGTGCATGACAACAGTTGCCAAGTAAAGTGTCATTTTTTTGTCATTCATTCCATAACCAATTCTCAGCTGTTCATTCAACTCAGTATTTCACTGTGTGTTCTTCATTTGTTGTTGATGTTCATCTGACCATAAATGTATGACCATGTCATGTCGAGTATGTTCTGTGATCATATTTTTAAATGCATAAATAAAAGCATGCGGTTCAAGTACAAATGTTTAGCCCTCCTGTCAAATTTCAATTATTTGTCAAATATTTTTCAAGTGCTGTCTAACGGAGATTTTTGGCATGCATATTAATTTTAATAAGTAATTATTGTGTCTCTGCCATGATGACAGTACATAATATTTGACTAGATATTTTGCAAGATACTTGTTTTCAGCTTAAAGTGACATTTAAAGGCTTAACTAGGTTAATTAGGCTTACAAATAACAAATTCTAGCCAAACTAAAAGAAATCTCCAGAAGACATTCTCCAGAAAAAAATATCTACACTACCTGACAAGTGTTGTTGCCTCTCCAAGTTTCAATAACAACTTGACTTCTAGTTGATGATTTGGTGTCAGAAGTGTCTTATATGAAAGGTAAAGGCCTCTAGATTTTGCTTATTTGAGCACAATAAAATATGATCATGTCTTGATTATTAATGATTTGATTAGGACAGTAAGGTCTGACTCTGCTTAGACTAAAGTCTCATCACTGAACAGAAATAATGTCCAGTATAGAATATAAAGTCCTGCTGCAGTGGAGACAGAATGAATATTGTGTCTGACTCCATCATGAGCTTGGAGGACTGCATCCATACATCTCTGCACCGACTCAAATCACTGATTAATAAAGTCATCTGGAATGG